AAAGCGTTGCTGGGGGCTGCCTCTTAAAAGGGCGACGCCGGGGTCCGGAAGTGCTGCGTGGAGAGGCGGGCTTCTGTCGGCAGCCGCGAGCCCCGCGGGGACGCCCCGTTAAGAGAGAGTTAAAGGAGGCTGGTTCTTAAAAGGGCAACGTCGTCGTGGCCCCGCGCGCGCTGGCGAGGGGAAGCTGCGAGCCCCGGGCGCTACTTAAAAAGCGGAAAGGCTTCGTTTGGGGCGGGGTGCGGAACTGGACTGGGGAACCGAGAGGGGCGGTCAGATCGTGGAGCTGTCAACCCTGGCACCTCCCGGCTCCGCCAGGACCCGACGAAGTAGCAGGTGCAAAAGCTGCAGCGGCTAGGGACCTCAGGCCTCAGTTTACCCCAGAAGTAACAGCGATACCACGCTCGAGGTCCCGGCTCGTGCCTTGCTCCCGGTGCCTTCCAGGCGGGTCTCCCAGACCCCTTCACTCCTAGTGAGCCTGGTGTGCGTCCAGCTCAGGCTGCCGAGGAGCCTGAAGCTCGCGATCCGGTCAGAGCTGGTCGTGCCCTCCTCCCGCACAAGGCCCTCTTGCTTCGGGACTTTGCAGAAATCTTCCAGATTCCCTGTTCTCTTTGAGCCCTAATTCCAGATCCCAGGAGTTTCCCGAACGGTCTCATGCTGAGCTGGTCCTCTGAACTCCCCTCCCTTCTCCATGTTTGCAACAGGTCTCAGGTCCCAGGTCGCTACAGTGGGTGCTTTTGATCCTCAAATTTGGACTCCAGGAACTGCAGTGAACCTTGGAGTGTAACTCTCAGTCCCTCCCCCCACCCCCATCTTCTCTGGACCTCAGAGCCTGGGTGGTCCACCCCTCCCCCACCTCCCCTAAAGTTTATCCTCCCTGGAGTCGGGTGTTGAAACCGCCTCTCCAAATTCACACTCACAGTAGCCACTTCCCCCAGGCACAGGCACTCTTCTTCCCTCCTCTCTCCCTCTGTCCTTGCTGCCACCCATCCCCAATCCATCTCTCTAAGGTTTTCCAGAATTTCTGCTTCCCTCCTCCTTGAATTCTACTTCCTGTGTTCCCAGAGCTGGGTGTGCAGAACGTCTGGGTGTCTCAATGAGTGTGGGAGACTGTGTCTGCCTGAGTATGTGTGGGGAGAGGACTGTGCTAGTGATGGGATTCTGGGGGTGAAGCCCCACTCCCGTCTCTGCAGGGTGAACCTGACTCCTGACTTCTGATACTATGGGGCATCACTCTCGCTGCTCTTTCAGTCCTCACCTCCTACATGGGTTATTCTAAATTCATAATGCTGCCCTGCCCTCCTGTCTCTCTCGGAAGACACAAGTCCTGTGGCTATCAGGGCTGACCAGCTACTGGAACCACAGACCTACAAACCACTCCCTTACTCTCATTCTTGAGGCCCAGGTATGCACCTGCCACTAGCAACAGCCCACTGGGTACCACTTCCAGGAACAACCTGCCTTTTTACTTTCTGAGAAATTTCAAGGACCTCAGAAGTTTGGAGTATTTATTTGCCTCCCGCAGATTGACGGGAAAAGACAACCACTCCTTCCCCAAGCTGCTCCGAGGTCAAGCAGCCACTATGTTAACATCCTGAATTGTCTCTGGCTGTTGTCCTCTCTCTCTGCTCTCTGGCCTACTGGTGTACTTATTATATCAATGTGAACTATTCTTTTTTTTTTTTTTTACACTGCTCAATGTGAACTATTCTTAAAAATTCAGGGCCTCCCTAGAGGCTCAGGGATCAAAGACAGTACTATCAAGCTATCCCAGCCACTATAGCACTAGTTTGATCCTGGGCTGCCCTGGGAGCTAACTCATTTAGCATAGCAGACCTCTCCTGTCCCATCCACTGCTCCCCTCAGCAGTATATTTCAGTACATCGGACTGTTCTGCTCTCCACTCTGTCTCTGGTGAATTCACCCCCCCCACACACACACACATAACTTCTGGCCTATACCCTATTCTGTTCTTATATACATAAATAAATAAATCTTAAAAAAAAAAAATCCTGGTAAAGCCAGCCCAAAGCCTCCTTCCATCTTCTTTCTTGAATGTACTCTGTATTTCTCTGATAGAAAATTAAACTTCTTTCTTCTTTCTTGGTTCCCAGTGGAGTAGAAAAACAGCATGTCACTCCTTTCTACACTAAAGAATAATATGCTTGAAGCCCTTATTCAATTCCTCTCTGTATTCTTCTCCAAACTAAACAGTGCCAGATTCTTTAACCTGTCATCAATAAGCCCTATTTATTATCTGGATTTGCATAGTGTCTTTTACCCCAGGAACTCAAAATGCTTTCAGATAAAATTGAGCCTGATCTCCCTGGTGCCTGAGCCATTAAGAAACCATTAGTGTACTATTCCTGTTGCAGACAACTAAATGGCCCCCTAGTGGCCTGAAAGTGAATATGCTTCTCTAAGTGCCTCTCCCCCGCGAAGGGTAGGCAGAATCAGAGAAAACAGGCAATCAAGCCAAGTGGGGACAGAATGGGCCCCAAAGGTCATCTTTTGTAAGTACCCCACAGACCCTAACACCTCCTCCAGAGTCAGTTCACAGACTCTCTGTGATGGTACACACCTTATTGTCTGCTCCCTCAGTCAGCCTTTGGAAAGTTCTGACCAATTAAACAGCAGCAACATCCACACCCTAGTTATGTTCTAGGTACCATACTAAGCACTTGCATTCCCTGTGTCATAACAACCTATCAGGTACTTACTACTTATCTTCATTTTTCGAGAGGAGGAGATTGCCTCAAAAAGGTTAAGTAGCATGCAGAGGATCATAGAGTGAGTTGGACCTCTAACCTGAATCCTTCTGCCTGAGAATATTCAGTTCTCACCAGCTCTAATTTGTGTCTATGTAGAGCTGAACTTTGTTTCTGAAGTAGTGGATGTGGGGTACCACCCTGATGGTGCTCAGGATGGAGGCTCACTTTCCTCTAGATGCCAGGAGTGTTGGCTACAGGGCCCTCACAGCTCCCTTTGTCTCTTGGAAATGCCCTTGGGTGAAAAGGAAGCTGCCTATCTCCTGGCCTTCAAGACCAATAAGCAGAATCAAGTTGCAACAAAACCCAGGGCAGCCTGCTTTTCTTGAGGAGGAAGAGGGCTATGCCCTCAACGGGCTGCCAGAGTAGCTAGCATGTATATACTGGCAGCAGTCAGGAGCAGATGTATGGCTGGATCAAGAGGACACTGAATATTAAGTTGAATAAAGGAGAGTTTATTGATATGGAAGCACTCTCCCATGAAACAGGATTTAATAGCCCACAAGGACTCTGGAAGACAGGAGCAAGGCATGGCTCACCAAGTAAAATAGAAATTGCCAGGGCTACCATGGCAGAAGGCAGAAAAAGGGTTCAAAAAGCCCAGAGTAGTAGGCAGCATAGTGGACTTTTTATGTAAGCCTCAAAACATATGTTTTTTAAGATTTATTTATTTATGCATACAAGAACTGGAGTGCAGGCTGGCAGTGCCTGCAGGGGTAAGAGATTCACCAGAGACAGTGGGGAGCAGAACAGGCAGATGTACTGAAATACACTGCTGAGTGGAGCAGCAGGGAAACAGGAGAGGTCTGCTGCACCTCCTTGGTCACCTGGGTGGGGTTAGGGATTGAACTCTTGCTGCAGTGGCTGCCCCTAGCTTCATAGTGCTGAGACTTAACCTCTTGTGCCACCAGGGAGGCCCACTTATTTGTTTTGTAGAAAAGCCCAGAAGATACTCAGGTTATCAAAGCAACAGGGACTGCACTGGTGAGGACCCCAGTTTGGGCAGTCTTCTGTAGGTCTGCTGAATAGCAGAAAGCTGTTTCAGAACTGGCTCCCCAATATCAATAGGAGCAAAGGGGACATGAAATAACAGAAGGCCAGAGGTTGGTAGCAAGGTGGAACATTGGGGTTGAGGATCCTGTCAGAAGAGTGATGCAGATAGTCTGTACAATATAGTATCCCTGGAGCAGCCAGATTGTATTGCTCAGCCTCTACCTGTTGTTGCCACATGTTTTGGTTTCAAAATCACTTTACACACTTTTGTAAAGTGACATCTTCAAAGAGTGCTTCATGCATGTTATGTTTATTGACTTTAACCATCTAAGAAATGAGACTGAGAAATCTGTAAAATATTTATTTAAAAAGCAGCCCATTGGGGCCTCTGTGATGGTGCAGGGGTTAAGGTCTCAGTGAAGTCATTGCAGGCCACTGAGGCCTGAGTTCTGATCCCTGCAAGGGAGGTGACCCACATGGAGCAGCAGATTCTCTTGTCTCTACTGACCATCTGCAGCAGTCTCACCTGCTGCTCCCCTCAGCAGTGTATTTCAGTGGATCTGCCTGTTCTGCTCCCCATTATGTCTCTGGTGAATCCTTTCAGCCTACTGGGTTCTAGTATGCATAAGGAAATAAAAAATAAATCTTAAAAAAGTAGCCCATTGTATGTTCATACAAATAGTATATTTTATGAAAAAATAAATTATCTGAAAAAAAAAAAGAATTACTGACTCCCCTCTCCCCACTTTTTTGCAAATCTCTTAAATGTGACTTTGTGGAAGAACAACTGGATTCTCTTAGGTGCTTCTGTTGGCAATGTGTTGGTTTGGTTAAAATACTTGAAAAATATTCAATCTCACCCACATATTTAATTGGAAAAGAGTGTA